TTATTTGCCACAAGAACAAAGATTATATGAGAAGACGGTGAACATTTTTCTCACCATAACATGAAGTGAATCTGACCAGAAACATTTGTATTTATAATTGTACAACTCTTGAGAAGAACCAAGGAAAACAACCAATGCATACAAAGTGAGATCAAAGCAGATTAAAGACCCATACATTTGCATTATATCGTCTAACATGTCCACAAGAAAAGTTTTGAGACCCCTCAACAGTCATACTAATCCTGAAATGTGAAAAGACTACCAGCCATGTACTATCTACTTGATACAGCTGTAATGACTTTACAAACTTTTGTGTTATAAACCTCAACCAAATATTCAATAAGCTCAAAAGAACTAAACAGGAAAACCTCAAAAGAAACCTGGCAATCCGTCGTTCAAAAAAAAAAAACCTGGAAATCCAACTCAGAATTCCAAAACCTTGAAGAAAGAAGAGTAAAATCAGATACTTTTATGTGCACTTGATGGTTTGTGTACACCAATATACAAACTCTTTGGAAGTCCCCATAATTTTACTTTTAATTTGCTATACTCAGTACACAAACATAACAGCACATACCGGTAGATTTGTAACTTGTAAGTATATGAGAAAAACTCCTTTCCGCAATATAACATTGTAACTTGTAAGTATATGAGAAAAACTCCTTGGAAGTCCCGATCCATGGATCTGCTTCCAATCTCTTCCAGATATTCAGATCCCATAAAAACGCCAAAACGTTCCTTTAAAATCGTTCGTCCACCTCAAACCTATTGTAGATTCCATGGATCTCCAGAGTCAGTTCAATCGAATCCTCAGAAATCTTAAAGATCTCGAGAATCAGTTGAATCTTCATCTCCTTGCTGGAATCGTATTTATGTTGCCATACACTTTCAATCAAAGTTAACTTCAATCGTTGCTGTCAACCATTAAGCATGGATTCTTGTTATCTCTATGGGATATTTGTTTGTTCTTCTTCTCTAGTTTGCCGGAAAATAAGAGTGGGGTTAATTTTCGATGGGTTTTGTGGCGTAAGAAACTAAAAAAATGATGCAATTCAATTGGCTACTAAATCCTGCATAACTATTGGTTAATTTTTCTGGTCCATTTTAAAAATAATTATATCAAAAAATTAGAATGGCATGGCATTGTAATTATAACAGAAAATCAAGGACAGAATCCTAGTAGGGATTCTGCTTTAATAGTATAGATTACTTCTTTTGGTTTTGACTAAATTTAAATGTTTACTTAAATTGGGATATATATTATACAATTTTGTCTCCATTACAAATCAATCTTAAACGATGCTTAAATTGGAGAAATAGTCATTACTTTTACGTCGAAAGGAAGTTAAAAAAAAGTTAAGTGCAATTGTTGATGGTGTCACCGCGAAGTTCGTCCATAGGCACACAATTCCTCAACATGGACCTCAATAATCAATTAATATAGTAGCCCCTTCATTAAGCAAGCATTTGACTTTCATTCCTATAAATCCACAATTAGAACTTGCAACCCTCAACACATTCAACTTATCTCCTCATAATTTTAATTAAGGATACAAAGATGGAGATCTCAAAAATCCTTTTGCTAGTTATTTCTCTTGTGGCTGCAACTTGTTTCTTGCAAGCCAAGGCAGCTGGTGTTTACTGTAGCAACCCTTACTCTCGGTGCTACTACAAGACCATTCAATGTCCAGAAGAATGTCCAAGCACAACCGTTATGAACTCAAAGAACAAAGTTTGCTACGCTGATTGCGATAGTCCCACTTGCAAATCCCACTGCCGCAGTAAGTTTTTTTTTAAATTCCTTGTCACACAAGTTTCCTCACATGTGTTTGTATAATCTCTAATATTGTATTTTTTTTCTAAATATAATGAATCATACTAGTGAGGAAACCAAACTGCAACAAACCTGGATCAGCTTGTTATGACCCGAGGTTCATTGGAGGAGACGGTATTGTGTTCTACTTCCATGGAAAGAGCAACGAAGAGTTCAGCCTTGTCTCTGACTCTGACCTTCAGATCAACGGTAGGTTCATTGGTCACAGACCCGCTGGTCGTGCCAGAGACTTCACATGGATCCAAGCTCTCGGATTCCTCTTCAACTCCCACAAACTCTCCCTCGATGCCGCGAAGTCCGCCACGTGGGACAACGAAGTAGACCATCTCAAGTTCACTTTCGATGGCCAAGATCTATCTATCCCTGAAGAAACTCTCTTCACCTGGTTAGCATTTGATACAAAACATTTTTTTCAATATTCTTTAAAGTTTGTAAAGCTAATAAGTTTTCTTTTTAAAAACAGGTACTCAACAAACAAGGACATCAAGATCGAGAGAGTGACAATGAAAAACAGCGTGATCGTGACAATCAAAGACAAAGCTGAGATCATGGTCAACGTTGTTCCAGTGACAAAAGAAGACGACAGGATCCACAGCTACAAAGTACCATCAGATGACTGTTTTGCACATCTCGAGGTTCAGTTCAAATTCTTCAACCTGTCACCAAAGGTAGATGGAATCTTGGGACGTACCTACAGACCAGACTTCCAGAATCCGGCTAAGCCTGGAGTCGCAATGCCAGTGGTTGGTGGTGAAGACAGCTTCAAGACCTCTTCCCTCCTCTCCAATGACTGCAAAACTTGCATTTACTCTGGATCACAGGCAGAGATTGATTCTGTTAAGTCAGAGATTGAATATGCAACTTTGGATTGTACCCGTGGAGCGTCTTCTGGAAATGGAATCATCTGCAGGAAGTAAAGAAACTGTATGAAATCTTGGCTTCAAAGAAAGAATAAAGCCAGGGAGCAATAGCTTCTGCTGGAGTTTGTTTTGTAAACCATAAATAAGTGAAAAATGTTGTATTAACCTTACTATTTACCACTTATGCAATGTATTTTGTATTGTATCATCTATGTATTCCATTTTGTATTAACCTAATCACTGTTAATGATACTTAATATTTATAAACAGAGCAATCTATCAGTCTCAAAACAACAAGTTCATGAAGAGCAGATGAAAGAAATCATTAATTAATAATTATGTTAGGTATCATATGTACTGATAACAAAAGCGGGGATAGCTCAGTTGGGAGAGCGTCAGACTGAAGATCTGAAGGTCGCGTGTTCGATCCACGCTCACCGCATTATTTTTTATTTTTAAAGTTACTTATTCCTTTAACATGTTGTGCTTGTGAGGATGCTTAGGCGTTTGGGTTCAAATTTGAGTTGGATTTTTTGATTTTTCCTACCATATTCAAAAGTTTCATTCAGTTTTTCTAATTTATAGATCGAACTTGGTTGATTTTTTCACGGGTTTAGTTCAGATTGTATACAATGTCTAAAATCAGGCAAAAAACTAGAANCATATTCAAAAGTTTCATTCAGTTTTTCTAATTTATAGATCGAACTTGGTTGATTTTTTCACGGGTTTAGTTCAGATTGTATACAATGTCTAAAATCAGGCAAAAAACTAGAAAAATACAACTGAAAGTTATATAAAGTATACTAAAAATTCGATAAAACCAGCAACCCTAACTAAAATAGCTAAAAACATTCAAATTAACAAAAAAAAAACAGTATAAAAACAAATCGCGAAAATAATATAAATATCTAAATACTTTACGCTATGTAAAATGAATTAATATTTTCCCTAGCTTTAGATATTTTTGGACGATAGTTCGGATTTCGGTTTAATTATACCCAATATCCAAAGTACCTAACCCTTAGACTCCATTTGGCTTCTCTTTCTGAAAATGGTTCGGATAGGATTTGGATTTGGTTCAGACATTGTGTTTGGTTACAAACTCCTATGCCTACTTGTGAGTATCTAAACTCTCAGAAATGTGTTGTCGCACTTATGTATTGCAGTTAAAGAAGAGTTAAAACTTGAGCTTCATAGACATTTATACGTGTGCTACAACAATCATATATCAACTAAAACATTATATATCAGGTAACAATCCTCGTGCTCAACTAGCATATGAGGTAACATGTCACGAATCAACGAACAAACTATGTATCGGCTAACAAAACCATGTATCGATTACCAGACCATGTATCAGTTAATGAAAGATATTTTTACCATCTAATCAATCATTTATCAAATAGTCGCAATATATTTTTGTAACAACCAACAATCCATGTATCGATTAATAAATCATGTATCAACTAATGATAACAATTTTATAATATTTTATCAATTATTTATCAGTTATATAAAATTAAGAATCTCTTAAAACATAAATAATATTGGGTAAGTAATAATATACCTACTAAAGTGTATGTGATTCACTGAATAAAGTTTGACGAGTTTGTCAAGCATGACTCAAGCGGTGACGGTGATGGATTGAGTTCATGAAGTTATCTGCTTATTATATTAATAAACCATTGTCTTCTTCTATGACATTGACAGAGGTGATATTGAGAATAGTTTGCCAGAGGATTAGAGCTGAAAATATAATTGGTGGTGAGTGAGAGATTCAGAGATAAGATTAGTGGAGGTGGTTTTGAGAAGTTGATTGTAAGAGTGAAAGTCATTGCAAGGGATAAACGTCGCAAGCTTCTATAGAGGATCCAACGTACAGTATATGAAAGTTAAAAAAAAAAACAATTATGATAAGAGTGATGGATTTCTTTGGAAAATCCAACATTAAAGAAAATAGAGTGAAAATTCGCATGGAGTTGAAATATAGAAACGATTAGTGATGAAGAAAGAAGTAGACACAGTTTTGGCATTTCAAGACACAAAAGGTAGAGTAATGTTCTTTTACATTTTGTCATGGGTAAATCTATAATTTGGTCCTCAAAATAATTAGTTGGAATATTAAATTGGATAACAAAAAAAATATATAGATATTAAAAAGTTTAACAAAATTTAGTTGGAGTATTTTAATAGAATTTTTCCTTTTAATTTCATAACTTACACATATAGTATCGCATTTCTAAAATGCAATTAATACAAACCCCTTCAACATTACACAGCCTATAGTACGAGCATAAACACAAACCTTAAATCCTACCATCCTCAGAACAATCAAGTAATCCTTTTTCTATAAGCTTAATCTCTTTTGCCACCAAGATCATCTTTGGCCTGTCTTCACTCCTCCCCTGGCAACATCTCAGTGCCAAATCGAGAAACATTCTCATCTGACCAGGCATCATATCGTTAGAACCACCCACGAATTCAACAGGTTCTCCTCTCTCCTGCAGATCCTTCACATAATCAAGAATATTACAATGAACCCCATCTGATCCAGCAAAAACCGCCGGTCTTCCCAACAAAAGAGCCAACATAAAGATTCCAAAACTGAACACATCTGTGTACTCTGTCACTAAACCCCTGGAGAAGTAAACCGGATCTATGTAACCGAAAGTACCCACCACTTTATCTTTAATCCATGACTTCCCCTCAGGTAGTGATACTGAAAAAGTGAAATCAGTCAGCTTAGCATTCCAATTCTTATCCAAGAAAACATTCGTCAGGTTTATATCTCTGTGAATAATAATCCTCCGGAAAGCCGCGTGGAGATAAGTCACAGCAACAGCCACCTCCTTAGCAATCTTTAGTCTAACATTCCAAGGCAATAATAACGTGCCGTCCACGCAACCTTCTAGCTCGTTCAAAACTCCATTCTCTGGATATTCGAATACAATAACCGGAAGGGGAAACTCGAGAGAACATCCCAGAAGTTTGAGGAAGCTACTATGGTTGCTTACCCGAGCAGATAAACGATGTCGTTGTAAACCTCTCGCTCATTCTCTTCTGAAAACCATGAATCTGTGAATTTCTTGATCGTGCAAGGTCGGCCTTCGATGACGCCCTTGTACCAGGTGAAGAATCTATGACGAGAGATGGAGCAATTGGGGTCGAACCGATCCGTGGCCTTGAGGATTTGTTCGGAAGAGAAGAACCGGATCGGGTTCGAAATACCGTTCGAATCGGAGATGAGTTCCTGTAAGAAAGCGCTGCCGTTTTTCAAGAACCATTCGCTAGGCTCGTTGACCTTTTTTCTTCTCCACGGTCTCATCCTCCAATAATGCAGAATGAAAATAACAATAACATTTATATATAATAATGTTAATAAAATAACTTAAAATCTTGTAACATATTGCAATCGGAACTATTGGGCACTAAGCTCATAGTGGTTTTTAAATCATATTAAAAATTACAACGTTTTTTATGGTAAAAAATTAATAAACTAGCTTTTTTAATCACTAATAACATGATTATAGATTTTTTAGAGGATTTCTTAGAAGAGTATTTTTTTCCGTGTAGATCACATGAACAGTATAATAGTTGTTTATAAAAACTATAAACTATGAATTAAGAACCGATTTTTATCGATTTCTTGCATTGTTTGCGGTCGATTGATTCTTTCTTAAAAAATTTTAGACAAAAAAAAGTTAAGAAATTCAAATGAGTTTTTAGGGATAATTATGCTCTAATAAAATAGTTAAAAACATTTTTTTAAATAGTACAAAAATAGATGGTGGTTCATGCATTGGACAAGAACACCAAATTAAGCTCCACAGAAAAAAACTCATCGCATTGGTTTATGTAACAATCACACTATGAAATAATAATTCTTGAAAGACTCCTTAATTAGTGTTGCTAAAAGCCATCTCACAGCTAATTAATCTCCACCTCCATTAGTCGGTGATCCTCCTTCGACCGGCTCATTACCAAACCAGAATCCCCATAAACTTTTTCTTTTCCCTCAGAAAATGCTTCTCATCTCTTGAGTAAACCCCCACTCAGCTTCTAATTAGTTAAAATTGCAAAATGATATCAAGTAGGGCTTTAGTTAATCTAAATGGGCCTAACACAGTTGGGCTTTAGTTAATGAATATGGGCCTAACAAAGATAAAATAATTTAAACTCATTTCTTCTTCTTCTTCTTCTTCTTCTTCCACTTTCCTCCGATCACTTACAAAACCATGAATCCAGATTCCGATCACCCTCACCTCCCCACAATCAAAATCCACCACCCTCCTTCCCCTCGCCACACCCCCTCCTCCGCCGCAACCCCAACTCCCACCGCCGGAGCCCGCCGCAAAATCGGCGTCGCGATCGATCTCTCCTCCGAAAGCGCCTTCGCCGTCCGCTGGGCGGTGGATCACTACATCCGCCCCGGAGACGCCGTGGTCCTCCTCCACGTCTCCCCCACCTCCGTCCTCTACGGCGCAGACTGGGGACCTCTCCCTCTCAGCAACACCCAATCCTCTCAAGAGGATTTCGACGCGTTCACATCGTCGAAAGTGGCGGACGTGGCGAAGCCGTTGAAGGAGAGCGGGTTTCCTTATAAGGTGCATATAGTGAAGGATCACGATATGAGGGAGAGGCTGTGTATTGAGATAGAGAGGCTTGGGCTTAGTGCTGTGATTTTGGGGAGTAGAGGTTTTGGTGCTGAGAAGAAGAAAGAGGGAAGTGATGATGATGATGATGATGGGAGGTTGGGTTCTGTTAGTGATTATTGTGTTCATCACTCTGTTTGTCCTGTTGTTGTTGTTAGATTCCCTGATGATGATCGTCATGGGCCTGGGCCTGTTAAGACTGGTGGGGATGGGGAAGGTGTTGTTGCTCCTCATCATCATGATCACATCAAAGGTCAGGACTTTATAGAGCTTTTGTAGTTGACATGTTTGAGTAGGTTTAGCACTGAGTGTTGTAAGAGAAATGAGATCTTTATGTAGATGAGTTAAGGAGAGTTTGTGGATTTTGTCAAAGTAGGAGAGCTGAGATGATTGGTTTACTTATACTTTTTGGTGGTTATGGTTAAGTCTCCTGTAATTTAGGCTGCAGATTCAGCATTTATATGTTGCATTGTTTACACTGCTTTTCCCACCTTGATTCTCTTGATGGTGTGATTCCCCTTTTAGCAGTTTTCTAAATAACTCGGATTGTGTGTGTTTGATTCAAATAGCCTTTAACACTGATGTAGAAACAAGATTGCTTTTGTGGCCCTGAAGAAATGAACCTTTATTTTTTCAAAGTGATTTTGGTTTTTTTTTTTTACCTCGTTGGGTTTATTATGTGGCAGACAGTATTTGAAGGTATCATCATGCTATTCAAGTACCATGATTATAGTTTTAAATTGTTCTAGTAAAGTCGTAACTCTTGTATGCTGTTCATTTCTCTCAATGAAGCTTCAGTGTAAGTAGCATTTGTGTTCTTGTTGTGCTCTGGTTCTTGATTCTTACAGAGAAAACTTATAGAAGAAGCATGGGGTTTCGTAGAAAAAGTATGGTTTTGTTACATGGAACGAAAAGTCTATTCATCGTAGTATTATTTAGATATCAAATACAGAGATTGCGATGTTGTGTTACCATCTTACTTTCTAATCTAGAAGCTCTGTTATGTATGATACATTTGTTATCTTCATCATATTGCAAGACGAATGACAATACATTATGTGCTTGGTCAGTTCAATGGTTCCTCTTTGTGCTATGATCTTGAACAAATAACATTGTATTGTTCCTCATTTTCCTGTGTTTCTATCGCAGATGAGTAACGCTTCTTGGGATCTTGGTCAGGTTCGCACTCTCTACAGCATCCAGGTAACTAAAAAAAGTCGCATCAATTATCTTTTAGAGCTTTTATCGAAACATTAGTGTATGTTTGCTTGATTGTTTTTTTGTGTGTGTTTTTGGAACTGAAAAGGTACACAAATCAAGTAGGAGTTTTAGCGCAATGGTCAGAGGAGTGTGTGTGTGCGTGCTATGTTTATCTATCATGATATTGAGGAATTTCTCAGGGTTATTTCTTCAGGTTTCTGCAGTAAAACATGAAGAAGTTTGTAATGATTACCTAAGCCCTTAGGGAAAATGATCATTTAATTCCCCATGTATGTGAATTTGACAGATAAAATTCCCAACTATCACATGTGCAAAATAATTTTTCAAATCTGCATTGACTTGACAAAATTGAACCCTTGAAAAGTTCATCTCGAACAGTTAACGGATCTTATTTTGTGGTCCTCTTTTAATTATCTTATTCGATTTTTATGTCTTCTTCTTCCCCAAATCAAGCAACATAAACCCTAAATTGATCCAGAAAACGAATGGAGAGACACTACAAGAAAACATGTTATTTGGGACTGCAAGAATAGTCGCTAATCAGTCACAAAACATGTATTTGCTACTATTTTGCGACTGAATCACGTAGTCACAATATCATGCGTCGCTAAAATTATTAGTCGCTATTCAGTCGTTATTTGGCGACTGATTACCGACTGATTTACGATAACTGTAATTAGTCGCAAATTA